AGCAGCTTATAACTGTGATCTCAGGGTTTTAGGGGTTAGGAGCAGAGGGATGATAGGCCTAATCTGTCTTATCTCTCTTTTATGTTGTTTAAATACAGGGAGTATTTAGTTAAGATACATAGACTACTGGTGGTACCAAATATAAACATGTAACCAGGTTCAGCTTTATAGTTTTGTGACCATGTGTGTATTTGACTAATGATACACATGTACCAGTAGTTAAGAAATCTGTGCCATATCCATCTTTCAGAGAAGATGTTTATGTTTTTGCTGAAAAAAAAACAATTTAATTACGGATTCTGCAGAGTTTCTATTGGCAAAGAAAGAAAAAAGAAAACAATTTTGAAAAAGGGATAATTATTGAGTGAGTCACGGAGACATTATCCTCTCAAGAATAAAATTGATCCATTGAAATTTTCATTTTCTATGAATTTTACATTTAATGGACTGTCTATATTCCTATATTAATTAAATTTTCTGAAAATGACACATAAATATGTACTCCAGGATTTTTGTGTGAAAATATGCAGTGATTTCGAATTAAAAAAAAAGTATCACTTTTTAAAACTTAAATAAATCTGATCTGTACTATGTATGAGTGAAAGTGATTCTAACTTTATATGTGCAACTAGAGAATAGTGTTTTGTATCTTCAACAATTTACAATATTTTGAAAATTTACTTTAAAAGTTGAACTGGGAGCTTCGGCTAATTAAATTACTATTGAAATCACACTACACAAGATGATAAATTTGATTGAAAAAGTGTTGTTATTGTTAAAAGTCGTTTGTTATACAATGTGTATGTCTTTGATTGACGTAATTGTACTTGGGAACCTGTTTGTGAAATAGCAGTAGGTAATGTGAACTTTTTGTGTTGTCGTTAACTGTCATGTACATGTATTGTAGTTGTGTAAGTAACAGGCATTATTAGGGGAGGGGCTTAATGAGTAATGGGTATAATTACTGCCACAGGTCACCCGACACTATAAACTGAAAGTGTATACGAGCGGTGATGTCGTGGTGTTTACTTTTAACTTCACTTTTACTGTGGTTTTGTTGGGTCTTTTTTCCTACATGTTACTGGTACACTTCAATCTTGATTCAGTTTGAATTTATTTTAAACTTGAAGCAATGTAAATTTTAAGTATAACTACTTGATACAACATATTCCTTATGCTGTAGAATATGAGAAAACACTCTTACAGTTTTGCTTTTTTCTGGCATGTCCACTGTTAAAGATTAAAAAAAAGAGAGATCTTGTTTCATCTTTAACATGTACTCCAGTCTACCTTTTTGTTTTTGCCCAAATTAGATGGACAAGTAAACATTTAACTGTAGAGAAAATTTCCTAATGTACAGTATTTTGAAGTTTTAACATAGAAGTTGTTGATGGGGCTGGGTTGAGTTGCACAAGTTAAAAGTGAAGTATACATACATGTATATGAAATTCAAAAGATGAAATAAGAACCAATGTACCATTTGCATAGACAGTTTTAACAAAATTTGACTGCATACATCCCTAAGGAACCATGTATCAAAGTTCATTATTCAAACTAATGTATAGTATTGTGTTTAAGGAAGCCTGGGGAAAGTTCATTTCAGGATTTAAATCCCTTATAACATTTGTAAGCATGAAATGTATATTTGCTTGCACAAAAAACATAAAAAGACCAATGGAAACTCTGCATGTTTATGTTCAAAAAATATTAATCTTGACCCTGCTATCTACATCCTTCAATTTGAAACTTTCATTAAGTAGCCATTTTAATATAATGCACAGATTACCTAGACTAACAAAAGTTTTATGCATGTTTTAGCATAGAAGTATAATTTACTACTCTTGTCATAGTATGTCAATTGTCCTGTCAATTTGGAGAGTGTATCCTGACTTTGTGGGAAGAGAAAATGAAATCTTAGGTTGAAAAGTAATATCTTGTGATTCTGATTCTGGCTGGCAACAGGAACAGCTCCATGGGGAGATCCCAGCTTATTGCTCAAGACAGGGTTAAATTTGTCCATGTAGATAGTGACACTGGTTGCTGGGGTGGATCAGAACGAAGGAAAATGTCAGAGGCAGTACATGTATCCCATTTAAATGTTTGGACTGAGACTGTGTGGTGGTCTGTAATATTCTGGATATTGTGATGTCTGACATGTATGCACACTCAATTAATGTCAGTTCTGAAGAAGGCTTTATACATGATATCTTCCAGTATTTTAGACCTACTTGTATGTGTAAAAGATGCATGCATACTCAAAAACAACAATGGTAATTTTTTGCAAAGTTTTAATAAACTAATTCATGTTTGGATTCAAAATGTTCACTAGAAAAGGTGTTTGTAGATTTTTTTAATTGCGATATAGAATTTTAAAAAAAATTCAGACTTTTACAATTAAAAGTTTTGAGAAATATCCATGTTAAGATGACTATGCTTTTTGTTGTTGATATCATAGAGTGAGAGCAGGATGACCTGCAGGCAATGCAAGACATTCTGCAGACTAGGGCAGTCACATACACTTACCTTGTATGCTGTTATTAACACTGGACATTTATCATTGTCAAAAGCTGTTCTACGTCTGCTGTGTTATTGGAACTGTGTTTTCATTCAGTTTACATATCATTTTAAAAAATAACCATATTGTTTTACAATACCACATTTATAGTGGCTGTTTTAAAAATTCTGACATCTCTGGTCAATACCATTCAACATATGGTGTAATACCTTACAGGAAGTTTTCCTCTGAAAAAGAACTTTATTCACAAAAAACATGATATCTTTCACATTTAAATGAGGAGAATCAGTCCAGACTTTTCAAGTAACATCTCATGTACTACTTCTCTGTCGACATGCTTGCCAACTTCTCAGCTATTCATTTTAGAGAAAATGTTACAAAATAGAAAAAGAAGAATTGAAAAGTAGCTTTAGGGAACTTAACTTGATAGATAGTTGTGTGAATTGTCAATGCTAATGTGATAAGGTGTTGATTGTTTTGAAAGAAAAACAGGATAGTCTGTAATATAGGGAGAATCACAAGGCCTGTAATGTATCTTGGGCAGGAAGACTATAGTATACTAAACTAGCTTTATGTCGTGCACTCTCCCCCAGAAACATTGTCACATGTACGCCTCTGTGATATGGAGACTTCATTTAGATTAATATAATTGTATGAGATAATTATTGATATATATTTTGTAAGAAACTTCCTTAAACATCTTAAGCTGAAATAAAAATAAAGAACATGTCATTAGGCATGCTCTGCTCATGTCTACACAGCTGTATGACTGTATAGAGACATATGAAGATAAATACAAATGACTGTCAGAAATAATTAGAACTTTCTGACTTGGAAAGGATTCTGACATACATAGAGCCAGGTATATCTGTCCAGGAGTTATTCAGGTTCAGCCTATCCTGTCGCTGATGTCATACTTCTGTAGCTGAGGGGAGGAATGCCAACTGACCTGTGTACATACACAGTATGTACACATGTCTATCTTAACTCCCCTAGTCATTACCTTGATGAGATATTAGAATTTCATTCTAAACACTTTCAGTTCCCATGTTTATAATATTTGAATATTTTCAGCCATCTGCTTTACAGGGCGTTAATATTTTGACTTGCACCATGTAGAGATTATGTAATCATTTTTTCAAAGTGCACATGTGATGGAAGTAGAAAACGAACTTTTATGGGTGTGATGTAAATGTGCTTTTCTGTAAAATTTAGGCCACCATCTGGCTATCTTATTGTATATAGAGAGGCCTAAGGGGATTAGGTAGAACATCAGTCACACTTCCTGGGATGAGTTTTCTTAGAAAAAAAACTTATCTTGTTAGGAAAAGCTGTCAGATTTATGATGCAAATATATTGAATTTCTGCCTAAAAGATGTTAAATATTCTCTGGTCAGTTTGAGCCAAGTGGTCAAGATGAGGTTCACGGACTTCAGACGTCCGAGTTGGTACATTGTACTTATGTACCATTGCACAAACTTAACCTGGTATTGAGATACACATCACGAAACAGAGTATGATTTAAAGTGCTTTCCCTCATTTACCTGTATTTTTGTAAAGTTATGGTAAGAAGATGTGACCTCAAAGCAAGCGACTTAAAGGGATAGAAAAATCCTATTAAAACTCCGAGTGGCAGATGTGGTTACCAGAAACACATCATAACTCTATCCAAATTGTAACTTAAGGATTTGGCCAATTCCAAATGAAAGCTCAAAAGATCCTCATAATATTGTCTTCCTGACATCTCTAATTAAATGTCTACATCCTAATTTTAGATCTGATGAAATTTCTCTTATCGGATACTAGTGGTGTAGGACAACTTATCGATGTATTGCGATAGCTTTGCTCTCAATAACAATAGGTTAATAACATATTTTCAAGTTGATAATTATTGCGATAGTTTGTTCAACTATTAATTGTTAATTACAGTTTTATAACTTAACAAAAATGCTTCTTGAAAGCAAGATTTTTCGTCGAGTTATTGCCATTTTGAAATTTTACTATTGCAATACTATTGTGATTGCTTTTCCTGGCCTCAATAGTCACCCTTATTTGATACTGCAGCAATATGTTAGACAAGATGTTGGAATACTAAGGGGTCAGATTAGAAGATGTGTTTGAAACTCTGGGATGAAATGAGATCTTATGTCATAATATTCAGGGGTCAGATTAAACAGTGCATCTCAATACCATGGTCTCAGATGAAATCTTATGTCATGATATTCAGAGGTCAGATTAGACAGTGTATCTGAATACCCTGTGGTCTGATGAGATTATTTGGAGGTCGGATGAGACAGTGTATTTGAATACCTGGGGTCAGATGAGAGCTTATAATATTTAGGAATGTTATTAGCAAATGTGTCCGAATAATCTGGGGTCATGACAACAGAATACTCAGGTATCATATTAGACAAATGTTGAAAAAGGTTTAAAGATCAAATATGACTGGTCTCGGTAAACGTGTACATCTTTTCATTCTTTACAGATGGAGGAATATTACTTGGGGCATCAAACCTGACCGGTCGTTACTGGTATGGGTCTATATGGTACTATCAGGATCCCTCATGTGCCCCTGATGTGGAGAAGTGTAAGGCTGGTGTGCAACTGGAGGCGGGGCTAAGTGATGCCTTGTGGCTCAGCAGTACCAAGGTCCTAGTTGGTTTAGATACAGGTGAGATACTTACATAAGAAACTGTACGATTTCTTGTCCTCAACATGCATTTGTTCAGTTTGTTCCACCAGTATTTCAGTCCCCATCAGGTACTAACAGATGCAACAAGTTTGTTTTTCTCCATTACTACCAGTGGGACAACAGATAGGTTAAATATGACTGGTACTACTATTAGGAAATTTTTTATTTACTTTTCTTATGACACTGGTATATGTCTTCGATACTTCTTCAGGTGGTATCGTCAGAATGACAAAATTCACATACCAAAAATTTAGTCTTCAACTCCAGCTAGATTTATGGCCTTTAACTCACCTCACATCATTAGGCCCAATCATCTTATGTATGTCCATTGAATGTCATTTCCTGTTGGCTTTAGAATTACTGGAGTTCACATGAAATGTTCTTGTTTAAGCAAAAAATAAATCTAGTCAATTTGATCATAATGTCTTCACTTCTTAGTTTGATAAAAACAGGAATTCTTAGTTTTATAGATGAATCTAAAATACATTTGATGATTTTTACAGGCGGACTGGCAGTATGGGAGCTAATTGATGACTTTGATACATTTATGCAGCAGTTATCGACGGTAGAACATGATGATATTGTCAGCTCAATATCTATTTGTAGTGACAAGCAGAGGGCCATATCAGGAAGTCATGACAGATGGTATGCAAATAGTAAACTAGGTTTAAACTCATCTTGTAGATAGGAAAACCAACCAACCAACCAATCAGAATTGTTTGGTCAAATATAAAGATACCCAACACTGTACATACATGTATAAAGATACCCAACACTGTACATACATGTATAAAGATACCCAACACTGTACATACATGTATAAAGATACCCAACACTGTACATACATGTATATGTGTTGACAGAGCTTTTCGCTTAATAGTCATTTCAGTTTTCACAAGTATTATTGATAGATGATTTGTAGATCAGACTGATCGCATACAATGTTGCTTTATGTACAACATGTATGTACTCATTTTGAAGTATGTATGGTGTTGGGTGGAGGTCACAACTGTATTTTTATGAAATATTAAAACTACTGATACCAGCTCCAGGTTTTGTGCCTGAAAATAAAATTAATAAATGCTATAACTGCATTTATTAAATTTAGAACGAAAAATAATAAAATGGTCATTGGAAGGTAAGGCATTGAGAAGTAAAGTTCCCTGCAATGATATGACTGTATTTTGATTTCAGTGTGAAGGTATGGGATTTAGAAACTCTAGCATCTAGAAATACATACAGAGGTAAGATATCTGTTATCCCTGATTAGTTCACATTTGTCAGGTTTTGCAAGTTTTCATGTCTTAGGGAAATCCTCAACGAACTACGGAAAGTGTCTACAGTATTCTGGTGTTAATTCCATCCATAATTATGTACCCAGTGTATTTGGGTAGAATTTCCTACATATTTTATGTCATTGTCCACTGCATTGGAATAAAAGCATTCGTTTTGGTCGCCTGGACTTAATGCAGGATAGATACAATAAGACAAGAAAAAATAATCTGAATTTAATCATTACAAAATACTGGTGTGTCAATACTGTGTTTTGTGTTCCAGCTCACGGGGACCTGGTAAACTGTGTCAAGTGTCATCCAACAGAGTCTGCCATTTTCCTATCCTGTTCACAGGTAAGTCAACACTCTGAAATTTCACTCCGTATCTCCAAATATTGTAGAGTGCTGGGATGACAGTATTTCAGTATTTAAATTTGGCTATGCATTTGGTGTAATAAATCTTGTTTTATCAATCATTATTATGTCTTAAATGGAAAAAAGTCTTCTTACAAATTTATAAGGCCAGAAAAAAGTCATTACACAAGTAAAAAAAAAAGTTCAACAAAAATTATTTCTTTCCTTTTTCAGGATGGTAGCATATTTTTATGGGACACACGAAAACCTAAACCAGTTAGTATTGTAGGTAAGTAAATAATTGCATATATTTAAACAATTGTTTATCGTAAAAACATCATAATTGAAGCAAATACAAAATTAATCAAATTGAAAAATTTCACTGGTAGAAAACGTGAGATAGATATTGTGTTGGAAGGAAGAGGTTTTTGTGTCGCCTGCAGAGCTAGTGGACACTTAGGGATCACTTTGTCCATTGTCACGCGTCCAGACTTTTTTGGCTTATGCTTTGAGTTATCAAAATGAAATTTGGTATATGGCTTCTTGTTGGAAGGGTACAGGTTAGTTTTGACATCCAGTTCAATTTCTGGGTGACCGTGACACTTTATGCAGTCGACACATACAGTTTCGAGGAACTCTTGTTATTCACATATTAGTAAATGGCAAGATAAAAAGAAATTCTAAATCATTGTATTTCCTTGTGTACTTCAGACAAATCACCCCTTCAACATTCCTCCAAATGTGTTGTCTGGCAGCCCAACTCTCAACATTCATTTGCTGTTGGTGATGAAACCGGTCAAATTGTGGTCAAAGATACGCGGATGTCAATAGGAACACCAGTGACCTACACAGCACACTGCCGCTGTGTCAACAGACTCGAGTTCTCAAGGGATAGGTAAAGCTATAAGCAACAGTTTACAATAGGAGGACATCGTCAAGATATAGTAACTCTGAACAAACAAACACACATGAACTTTGTGTGGGAGTTGTGAGATATAGAACCCAAATGGAATTAAAATGTATATTTGAACTATATTTGGGTCCAAATCATGTCTATTTTGAAGCCCGAATTTAATCCCCAATACCTGGGTAGTTATGAAAAAAAATTTGTACTAACATCTTACCAGATTATATAGAGTAGATGTCACAAATGCAGTGTAATATAAAGTAACTTGCTACACAACTGGTTGTTACGGATGTGTATGGCTTCTTGTTTTAGATACTACTTGCATCCAAATATCTTGTTTATTTGCTATATTACAGTCCCAGTCTGCTGGCCTCAGTATCCGACGATTGTGAGGTTGTGATCACGGACACTAGTTCTGTGAAATGTACAGAAGTGTGAGTATCCCTGTTGAAATCAACCATTTTGATGCTTAATGAATTGACTGTGTAAATTTTGAAAATTTTGTCTGTCCCATAAAAAATGTGAAAGGTGGCACTTTTTTAAACGCTCACTTTGAAGAATTATCTTTTGTTTAGTTTAAATTTGAGTAACTGCCCAAAAAAGGAATTAGCAGAATAGGCCTGAAAAAGGAAAAGACACTAAAAGTGGATCTTTTCATAACTTCCTTGTCAGAAGTTGTGAAATTGTAAGCTTGCCTAGTTGTAGTTCTTCCTCAGAAATTGATGTAATTATTTCATTTTCACAATAGGATACCTTAGGGAAAACTTTGTTTGAAATTATGTTGTTTTTTTTTTAACAGCTACAGAAACCGATCCCACCGTGACTTTGTACAAGGATTGTCCTGGAAAGGGAACCAAATTTTCACATGTGGCTGGGACTCACAAGTGTTAACACACACCATAGACAATGTAGCCATGACAACTTCTGGCACCGTAACCATAGCAGACAAGGTCAAAGGTCAGACAACTATAGGTGATATGAACTGTAAGGTTGAGACTTCAATGAAGGATATGGTGAAGTGCAATGGAAATGGTGATTCCATGTCCGTGGAGAGTACCTGACCTCACAACTACCTCAGATGTTACAAGGTCCATCATCTATTGTTCACGCCAAGGACACTGAAGATATTTTATTGGATGCTGAAGGCCATTGAAGGTCATTTTAGGTCATTACAGGGCATTTTAAAGGACAATCTTGGTCATTTCCATGCATTCTTCTGTGTGATCGAGGTCACTTCCATGCATTTTATTTGGATGATCTAGGTTGATTTCATGCATTTTCTTGGACGACCTAGGTTGTTTCTATTTCCATGCATTTTTCTTTCTTCTTCTTTTTTTTTTTTTTTTTTTGACAGGTTTCCATGCATATTTCTGGATGATCAAGGTAGTTTCCATGCATTTAATTGGATGATCTAGATCATTTCCATGGATTTAATTGGACGATCTAGGTCATTTCCATGCATTTAATTGGACGATCTAGGTCATTTCCATGCATTTAATTGAATGATCTAGGTCATTTCCATGCATTTAATTGAATGATCTAGGTCATGTCCACGCATTTTCTTGGATGATCAAGGTCATTGTCCTGGAGATCACTCAGAGGGTGTTTTTCATTGACAATTATTGGAGAATTTTTAGATCTGAAGTTAAAGGGTTTTATTGTAAGAAGCTTGTCTATTAGTGTTATGTATGATACAAGGCTTGGATTACTGTCATGAGTTTTTATCCTCATCAGTCAATACAAGCCAAGCCTTGAATTCATAGAGGTTTACAACCTTCTGATGAGGGAAAAAAATCTATTAATACAGTGCAATGATTATTAAAGACCTTAACACACCATTGGATCCCACTGGTGTCATTAACTGGTGTGCTCATAATGGCCATGTCATTCATTCTTTTATAAACCAGCAAATTTGAGGAATACTAGATGTTCATAACAGGCCATGGGAACAAAACTATGGAGTCACAATCAACATAACACACTTTTGTGTTGAGTGTCTCCCAATATTGAACTTAAAAGTGTTATACTGCTAACTATTTAGATTATATAAAGATAGGTTTTATATGTTGATATATATCTCATTAAAGTTTATAAGTTTGAATGACACCAGGTGTACCATGTTTTACAATTTGAAGTTGTTGGTAGGTGAACATCTTCCCATGGAAAGCTTTTAGTTGTATTCAGTAAATATTTTTTCTTTCCATCATCGATTGATCTCTGTATTCTTTTGCTATGTCAAAGCAGTGATCAGTTGTAGTATATAACTGACTGAAAATTCAGACTGTTAAGAATTTTCTTTTGTATTATTACAATAAGTTGTATAGGGTGTACTATATATCAATACATTATGCAGTACTCTAATATAAAGAGTTGTCTCCCCTCTTAAAATTGTAATATTTGTTAGTTTGTTTTTTAAATGTTTAATCATACTCAAAAGGTTAGGGGGGAATCCTCAGGAAAGATTTCAAGGCCCAGATCTCTTCTAAGAAGTTGTGTTCTGGCCTTATAGACTTGATTAAATCATTTGTTTTAAACATTTATCTATCTCTTTATTGCTTCAGTTACAAAATTATATTTGTCCTATATAAAAAAATGTACAATACATTACAAAAGGAGTTTCCTCAAGTAGCAAGAGAAAATGGAAGGACTAGGCCTAATTTTACGCAAGCTCGTGATTTCATACTTTGTTGAAAATGTGATTTCGAATGATGGCTATGAAAGATGTGTGTGTGTGCAAGGGACTTAATCAGCTGGAATGAATGCTGAAAAATACAGGCAAAGACAGAAGTTGTCTTTTTATGATAAAACAGATTAGCAATATTACACAATAAACATTAACAGTAATGTGTTCATACGATGTGCTTTTGTTATCTTTTAGTGTTATATTTACAAGTACCTTTGTAAGTTGCCATCTTGGATAATATTAAGGAGACAATCTTGATATGTTTTGAGATTTTCTGTGATTTATTGTGATTGCAGTCGGCATCTCCTTTCAGTTTGTGTCGTGAATACATTTAAGGAATATTTGAATTCTGTAGAATCAGAGATGAATATGGGGAAAATTTTAATTTAAGAGAAAAAAAATCCTGAGGTAAAATTTCAACAACTTTGGTTTGTTGATATGCAAATAATATTCAACAAAGTGGATCTACATATAAAAATTTTGAGATGAAAAAAATTACACAATTGACAGTAACAAGAGTATCTGGATGGCCATCAGCAAAGCCATTTTTTCCTTCCTACATCTTGTCATACTGCAAGGTTCAAATTGCATGTTTAGATTTTAAAGCTCTGTTTAAACATCCAACTCACAGTGTGATTTATACACATTACAACTTCAAGAAATAATACAAGACAGATGAATTGTAAAAGTTTACTTTTTTTACAATGTACATAAAATCATATTTTGCATTCAATATTCTATGTTAATAATTACAATATATATATACAAACACATATTTCAGTTATAATCAAATGCTGCGTTTAGGGATTCATCATTTGATAAATTCATTACTTCTACGTGAAGGGGTAGAAAATGCAAGAAACCCTATAATATAGAGATTCTTAAACAATGGAACACAATAGTTGTTAAAGTTATATCCCCTTGTCGATGATGAGACATAAACCCTGACACAGACATTATACATCTGTTTACAATTGTGCTAATTCTACCATATCAACTCTGTATCACAGCCTTTAAAGCTTTTGAATGTGTGGTAATGTAGCTTGTCTGTCATACACCATGAAGATATGAAACCTGACCAGGTGTAATCATCGTGTTCCAATCCTTCTTTCTACAGTACCTTACATATTCGGTCTGTGACCCTTTTATTCAGACAAAGCAATTGTACACATGCAAGCACTAATGTCCTATGGTAGAAACACTGGCCCTGTTCTCCTAAACACCAGCATGAAGCCTGTGTTTGATGACAGGCTCTGGTAAAAGTCTTTCCAACACCTGCCATCCAAATTAAGGTAGGACATGGATACATGATACTGGAAATGTCTGTCTCATAGTTCTAATGATGATACTATCTTCTTAATATGGCGTAGCTCTGGAAAAAATCAAGTTCTTTCATATGAATGGGCTTAATGGTATACATGTCAAATATTTCTAGCAAAACAAGATATTTTCACTTAAACAAAGCAATATCAGTGAGTAAAACAATACCCAGCATATGCCAGGATTAAACATTTTGTGAGACAATGTCAGTACGATAATTCCACAGTTACATTACAAGCATGAGAAGTTGCTAGGGTGAATGAAATTATTTGGAATATGATCTTTGTTGTGTGTTTTCATTATCCTATTGGTGTGAAAACTTACCGTGCAAAGTTGATGATAGAAACAATGGCCATAATGAGTTCGAGTCCTGTGAATGCCAACTGTATCGCAGCCAAGATTACGTCGACTTTGAGGACATATGTCTGCCAAAGTAGGAGGAACAACGCCCCCAGAATGGCTGGTATGCTAAGCATGATTGAAACAATAACCCCTACAATCTTCTCTGTCAGGTTTCCCTTTTGTGCTGAAAAGAATAAAATATTTGAATTTTTGTTAAGTTTAATTTCACAAAGGACCATCCTTCAAGAACACACCAATGACTCATTATATAGCTGATAAGTAACTCATAATTGATGATTTGAAACCTTCAGTAGGATTTTTTTTTATCTGTAAGTGCTGCATGGAGATGTAGTATTTGTTGATATGAACAATCTTTTTTATAAAATCAAGACTAAAAAATAAAAGAAATAGATCTGTCAAACATGGAGAGCCTGAAGTAAATTCAATGACAATACATTTACCCCCAGTAAATTCAAAGACAATACATTATACAAAAAAAGATTTTAGATGGCATACCGAAAAATATCCTCAGTGCTTCAATTGCTGCAAGGACAAATAGCAGAATTACCTCGGCAAGTAAAACATTATCTGCATATGGAAGGGTTTCACCTGAAAAAGACATTTAATTTGCATTACCATGGGTAGTCTTAACTTTTATATGATGCCACAACTCACAAAAAATTGAATTCAGGAAGAGTTCTTTTCTATTGGTCAATGTTTTGTACTTTTTTTCTTCTGGTTCAATATCATTTTTTTTGTGCATATTTTTTTTTTTAAAATCAAAGCATTAAATAAGTACTTAATCAGTCCGTATCTGTACAATATTAAACACATAATAAGGATTATCAATAACAATTAAGCAAAAAATAAGGATGCAGGTAACTTACCTTTGAAAATAAATATCAATATCTCACATATGAAGAAAAATCCAAAGTACCATCCATTTAAGTACAGGAGCACTTGGTAAGGAAGGGATGATCTCTTAGATCAAAGGTCAAGGATTAAACATGAAACAAGAGTACAGAAGGGCAGGGCAAATGTCAGGTATCTACATTGTAGTACCAAAATGCATACTGTTATATAGCAATGCAATAAGACAACTCATCAAATGAAACCACTGTCTGACAGTTCATGGTAATAAGATGTCAAAACATATTAATCAATTTATCAAGACAATTCAGCAAATTACAGTCCCCCACCAAAAATGAAACTGTCTGCCAAGAAAATCCACTGTGACTCATACTCAAAATAAGAAGTATTAGTGACTAGTGATATAGGAGACTAGATTTGTTTTGTGGGACAAAGAACCCAAACAAACTTTTTTTCTTTGAAGTAGGTCATAGAATAAAATGTAGGTCACAGTGACCTACTTTTGAATCGCAACACACGCCCTCACCAAGGTGAGCCCATAACCCAAGTATGAAGTTCCAGTGAACTCTATGGCCAATGACAATAGCATCATCTTTAAAACTAACCTGGAACTGTAAAACTTGACCAGTGTTTTGATGGGTCATTTCTGATATCTCCATAGGGCTCCAGCCTGTCAATGTGCATCTTGTCGGCATGGCATTCACATTGTTAATTCTCTGGTAAGTTTCATATATTAATAGGTTCTGTGTAAACTTTCATTCATCATATTATTCATTGCACACTTATGAAAAAGTCGAAATATTTATCTATCTGCTGTTTTGCAGACTCGTATATAATTATTGTGATCATCAAAGTGCAGAAATCAGAACCCGGTCTTGTTGTTATTTAAAATAATATAAGAAAAAATACACTATGCTTAACTACTGTTTTCGTAAGGTAAATGTTGCTTCTTAATTAATTATGCTTGAAGTAAATGTTGTTTTGCTAGTACTAACTGTGAATGTTTGCATGCCTAAAGGGGGAGGGGGCTGGGGTCATAGCAAATTACTTCTATGCTACAAAGGATACAATTACTTGAACTCGACCTGTAAAAACAGAGAAATATATCTTTTAATCAGAAAACCAAATGATAACTGTCCCAAAACAAATGTATTGTAATTCAGAGCAACTGTAATTTTTGCTGCTTGGAGGTAAACTTGTCAGAGCTTGATCACTTCATTTACTTTCGAGATCATTTGATTTAAGTGAATGCGAAATAAATCTACCAACCGTCTCATGCAAAGTTGTGTAATGAATTTTGAGAATGACATTAATCAAATTCAGTTTAATCATTACTTTGGACATAAACAGTAAAAACTTTACCTTTGTTGCCTGCTTGTTGTTGTGTGTTCGCCATTTTTATACAAACGTGTTACTGCGGGACTGCCTTCAAAAATTATTTGTAAATCAATGATCGGTGGAATACAGGATAAAAAATGAAAAGGTATGGCTTACAAAGTAGATTTTTATTTTTCTTATTGTTTCATCTAGCCATTTCAATAATGATATAAATTAATATAACGCAACAAAAATATAGGCTCTTAGTTGATCATACGCTTGTCTAATGCTCTCTATCGTCTCAAACCTGTCACTGACTACGATGCGCCACATCACCAAAAAATTTCATAAATTCTATAAAATTCCACAATTTTGCTGAACATTTACATCATAACTTTGACATTACATAGAAAATAATCAGATTTGAAAACGCCATCAATGACAGTCTCCTAAAAAATCAGAAATATAGAGTTATATCAAAATATAGTGACCAATACATTTGATCACGTGACACATCCACACTTCCTTTTTCTAACGTCGACGCACGAGTTGACAACATGACTTCACCATCACCAGCTGTTCAGAAGGGAATAGTGAAACAGGTAAAGTACAAATAGACTCAAAATAAGAACTGAATATACACAAAGTTGTAGAGAATGATATTTGAATGCAGTATTATCGAGTTTAGCGTGTGGCGCTCGACAGAAAATAATTTTAGGGTTCCAGATGTTCACCGGTTCTACAAATTACAATAACGTTAATGACTGTGCATCTTCGGCCCTCATGTATTACGGTTCTTGTGATCCCTGAAGTTCGTGATGATATATTTTATAAATTTCATCATACAGACTATGCTCCAATCCTGTTTTTGATGAAAATTTCGTTATTTTAAACATAATTGTCTTGGATTGAATTATTTATTAAAATACACTACCGGACAGTCTTGGTAAGTAAAAACAGAATTTAAAAAGTATTGTTCATTCAGTTTTCAAGAGAAGTGCGGTCTCAGGTTTAAGTAAGAATAAGTCACTGTTTGATTAAATTCGAAACAAAGCTCTTGAAAGTATTCAAAATCTATATCACTATAGAAGTTATTGACAGAGTATCCAGATGTGGTCAGTTTAGAGAAGCCTGGTGGGCTATAAGATGCCCCGTTTATCAATGTACAAATGTTTGATATTGAGTATTATTTCTTGCTGATATTTTACTCTCTCTGTTCAATAACAAACTATACTTGACGTACATATCATGATGAGCCATGTTAGAGGAATTTTATTTAGTTTACATGTCATTATTAAGAGTATTTACATGGTATTTTAATTTTTTCATGAATTTGAATTAATAATGATGTCATAACGTAATGATAATGGTTTATCTGTCCTTACTACTTTGTCCATATGATTAGATAATAATACAAGTTGAACCCATAAAAAAGTACTTCAGGGGTGCAAAATTTGTTTAAAATTGTCCTGATGAAGCATCGACCGGAGGCAAGACTAGCTAACTGTAAAGTTTATTAGCCTACTTATTTTGTAACACTTGATCTTGTTACGATTAACCTTTCCCTAGTACATATTCCTGTCGATCGCATGAATACCTGAAGGTATCCAAGTTCAAGTGGTGTGCCCCGCTGAAGAACACACCTACCTGTAGACCAACATTGGCTCTATATCCTTGTTTTATCTTTAATTTTAAAAATAAGTCGGAAAAATAAGTAAATTTTCATAACTTAATACCACTTTTAGATCCTCTCAGGGGATGCTGTTGTTATTAGAGGTCAGCCCCGTGGGGGGCCACCACCAGAGAAGACTATCTGTTTCTCCAACATCACAGCTCCAAGGATGGCTCGACGACCAAATCCAAACATGGAGGGAGCAACAGAAACCAAAGATGAGGTAGTGTATGTTAAATTTTTATTTATCTTTTTATTAGTTCTTAAGTCAGATCTTCATTATATCAATTTTGCATCAAGAATATGAAAGAAAACTTCAAAAATTCAAATAATTGATTTCTGCCTAATAAGACATGTTAGATAACAAGTAATTTGACCAGTAGCTGTAGGGTTGTTCTTATTCAGTTTAGAAATCGGGACTATTCTCTCCTTAAAGATATTTATTTTGTTTTCAGCCATTTGCTTGGGAGGCAAGAGAATTTCTCAGGAAAAAGTTGATAAACAAGGAAGTTGTCTTCACTGTAGAGTACAAAGTTCCAGGAACTGGACGAGAATATGGATGTGTGTACTTGGGAAAAGGTAAACAGCATTGGATATATAGACTGTACTATTCTTTGTAGAGGATAACATTTTTTAATAAGAAATGTGTACCCTTGGTGTGTACCTTGTTATAAAGGAGGGTTATTGTTTTTTGGTAAACAGAAATGAGAGTGTTCTTCTTGTAAGAGTAAGCACTCCATTAAGTTATGATCAAATATTATAAATGCTACATCATCCACCTCTAAGAAGGGAGGTGACATCTGTATTAATAACTTTATATTAAAAAGATATAAAAAGAGTTATGTTTTTATTGATATCAAAATAAACACGAGAATAAAAATGGCCTAAGGGAACAGATCTCATGATGTTGAGGCAATATTTATGTCTAATAGGTTTCTGTAGCCTCAGGGAAATGTTGTCTTTTTATTAATGCACAATTTCGGATCAGACCCCGAAGGTAATGATTCAGCTAAGACCTATATAGGCCTTGGTGCCCTAGGATGACAGATGATGTTCTTGACAATGATTCATTGATATGGCACTGTAACGATGCATAGTGTTGTTTTATCTTAGAATATGATTGCACAGATTGGTTAAGAAATGAACCCAAACAGAGAATAGCATTCAAACTTATGATAAACATAATTCAATAAAACTTAGAACAGTAAAACCAGGACTCTCAATCTGTCAGATTTGGGGCCGAATTCCCAATGCAAAATAGTCCTTTTTTCCCCAATTTAGACCCCAAGTTTTCCCAATTCTAAGAAAAAGCGCCGCTATTTTTTTTGGTTTTTTTTTCCAATTTTAAGGGCCCTGGGCCCCAGTCCCAAAATGGGGTGTGAGAGCCCTGAAAACCCTAACTGAGCATAATATGTAATTTCACAAACATTTATTTTATTATTGCAAGACTGAAATTTTCAGATGAAAATATTCAACTTAAAAGAACATCCCAATAACAGAAGCATTTAAGAAATTGAATGTTTGATTGTTTTCAGACATGAATGGTGAGAACATGACAGAACAGTTGGTCTCCGAGGGACTGGTAGAAGTCAGGAGAGGTGGAGTTCGAGCTGATGAGTACGTATATGTCTTGATTTCAAACTAAAATCTAGGGTAGTGACTGCTAAAGTTTCGGTGCATATTTCACCTTTGGGACCCTCTTTAATGTTGTTAAACACCAGATTAGCATACAACAGCTTCAATTTCTCATTACAGTTGTAATAATTATGTTACTGTATACACTGTAGAGGATTTATTTCACAGAGCTAATATATAATGGTTTGTCCCAGTTAGGGCTTGTTCAGAGCAATCACATTTTATGCAACTGTACAGTGTATTTTAATCTAACATTTTGAATCACTGTAAAATATTTAATGGTTTTGATGTTTTGGAAATCTTGAATGCTGGTGAATATAGCTAACCTTAACGCCAACTCCTTCAATATTTTACAAAACTGAACCTCTACAACATTAAGGTCACTTAGAAATCTATAGAGATCATTTGGCAGTTGGATATATATATGTATATATAAATAAAGATATATAAAAGTATAATTGCCAGTATGTTTACAATACACAGGTCAATGTATATTAAATGTGTTTTACCAAATGGTTCTCCCCACAAGAAAATTTTACTGAAGTATGTTTTGAATCTTGGTTTTGAATAAATGGTATTCCTGGTATATGTTCCAGTGCCAGCCAAAGTGCTTTAATACAATTGGAAGATGGCGCCAAATCCGCAGGCAAAGGAAAATGGGCAACAGAAGGCATTAAACCAAACAGTATCAGAGATGTAACCTGGGTAGTAGAAAACCCTCGTAACTTTGTAGACTCGCACCATAACGAACCAATAAACGGTGAGTGCAAGGGACATCACATAGATCCCAAAGAGCCTCTATGCATATTTTTCATGGTCGATGTTTCTTTTAACTATTCGAAATAAAGAATAGTTGGAATTAATCACATGGATTTAAAACTGCTGAGAAATTAGTTGATTTCATTTTAATGCACATTGCTTTTGAAATTATCCTTAGATAATGCCATTTTATGAGTGTACATATAGTGTTAGAGATGTCTGTAAGTCATGTCTTGTCACATCCCATGGCAGTGTTCTAGCTTGTTAACACACACACACACACCCACACCTTTATTGTGCTAGAATTCAAAATTGAAAGAAAAATGTCCATCAAAATTAATATGTACAAAAAGAAAATTGAAAAATTTCCGATTCCTAGATGCTACAGTTATTAGAAAAACAACTAAAAGATTAACTTACTTGAAAAGCATATCACACAAAAAAATTGTAGACTTTGAATTTATTTCTTTTTTACAGCTGTGATTGAACATGTACGAGATGGTTGTACTGTGCGGGCATTCCTCCTTCCAACATTTGATTATGTAACAGTAATGTTGTCCGGAATCAAGGTGAGTACGATACATCATGATTTTGGTTTACATTGGTTTGTGTTACATCATAATATATCCTGATATCTGTTTATAGGCAGTCGAAAGAACTCTTATACATGAGTGAGTAATTTAGCGAGTTGACCAGTCATATGTTACATGTGACAACAAAGTCTTACTGTGCCTGACTGCACCAACATGTAAACAGTAGAGTAGAAGACAGATATTTTTCATGTGATTCTGTATTTTTGCGATACCCTTGATTGTAAGTGAAAGATTCTAACTAAACACTCTATATTGTTGTACAAAATCTAGAGCAAACAAAACTGTTTAAAAAAAATGTTAGTCAAAAATCCACATGGAAGGATCACAAGTTGTTGTGTTGTTCCAGTGTCCAATGTTCAAACAAGATGAAGAAGGTAAACAGATGGCAGAACCCTTTGCTACGGAGGCTAAGTACTTCACTGAAGTTAGACTGTTACAACGGGATGTGAAGATCATCCTGGAGGGCGTGTCAAATCAGAATTTACTTGGCACAGTATTACACCCGGTAATTGATGCTCGTTCATTATGATGTAATTTGATGGGCATGGCCAGTAAAAAAAAATTAGTGTCACATGTAAACTGCTCAGGCATAAATCTTTCTTTCCGAATTACAGAATCAGTCCAATTAGCACATTGCCAATATAAAAATGTGCATAAAGAAATATTCACCTGTAAGAGATAATATTAAGAGAAGGTTGGAAATCCCAGGAAAAGGGAACAGAATTTCAGATTGTTTGAAAATTCAAATAAAATTTGGAGTTAATTTTTGGTAAGAGAGTAATGTTTTTGTGTTTCATTTTACTTAAAAACACAATAATGGACAGTGTTGATTTTATTTTACACAGAATGGTAATATAGCTGAGCTTCTGCTGAAGGAAGGGTTTGCACGTTGTGTGGACTGGAGCATGGGTGTCGTAACACAGGGAGCCGATAAACTCAGGGCAGCCGAAAAGTAGGTCATCCATATTGTGTATCTGTGGAATAATGACCACATGTCGATGTTATATAGCAACAGAGAAATGATAAACTTGGAACAGTGAAAATTAGGTCAGACAGAGATAATTCAAGCCTGGTCAACAGTTAGATGAATTATATTATTTCTGTGGATGGGCAGCATTTCCATTAAAAGAAAATCACTTCTGTAAGTGATTACAAAATGCATTGTAAAAATCCTATTTCATGTCATTGTGTGAAAAAAATGCTTCTGTTGGTGGTTCCTGTCAGAAAAAGCTCTTTTAGAAGGGTTCCCTAGTATCTTATTGTTTTTATCAATGTCGCTAAGGTTATAATGGAAACAGCTATTTCTGACAAGCCATTTATTTCAATTTATTATAGATTGGCCAAAGAGAAGAAATTGCGCATGTGGAAAGATTACAAAGCACAGGAGCAAAGTGTTGACCTCAAAGACCAGAGTTTTTCTGGCAAGGTACAAATAAATTCTCTAAGTTTTATACATGATGTCTTGGCAATGATTTTTGATGCAACATTACTTTTATCTGTAAAAAAGTTATCTTATTTGAAATATTTCAGCACCCTTGTGTGGTCAAATTAGTTAGCATGTTTAGATTTGTTTAGTTTTTACATCACAGAGAATTATACACTGATGTTAGATAAAAAAAGAATATCAGAAGAGTATATTTGTCAGGTTTTAATTTAAACATTTTCTCTTTTTAGGTTGTAGAAGTTGTAAATGGAGATGCATTAAATGTGAAAACAGGTGATACAATCAAGAAGGTATTCCTAGCTAGCATACGACCACCAAGGTAATTACACTTTATTAAAAGAGGGGTCATGGATTAAGAAATATTTCCAAAGGCATGCCTAATATATATACAGAGTTACTGTCTTCGGATTGTTTTTTTTTCTGCTTGTTGAGACTTTCAGATTTTTTTCTGTCATGGGCTAATACACTTTTTATGCATAATCATAATACATTCAGATATTTAAGAGTCTCTCTGAAATACATAACTGATGCTCATTTCTCCCAAACTTGTATAGTTATTGCCTTCAGTTTCTGAATTTTGGTTCCAGGGAAGTATGTCCAGACTATCAAGCTACATTATAGCTAGCCATAACTTTCAGACATATCAATTTTTTAAACCGTTATCATAATGTTTGAATAAGTTGCATAGAAAATATTTGATTGATTGGTTGATAAGTCTTATATAATTACAAATTCTTTTTACAGACCATCACTTGAGCAGAATGAGAATGCACCACCAGCCCCCAAAGAAGCTAACAAGAGGCCACGGCCTCTGTATGATATACCCTACATGTTTGAGGCACGAGAATTCCTCAGGAAAAAACTGATTGGAAAGAAAGTAAGATTTAGAAAAACAGGACAAAAATGATTCTAAAAGAAATTCCAAATGTCCATTCATATGATGTTATATTGAAATTCTAACACACAGAGTTATGTCCCTTGGGCTTTGTTGTTTTTGCATTATAAAAGATACGTTAATGATCAACTGTATATTTCACTTCGTTATAAATCTAGTCGTTAATTGTCTGTCTATAAACAATCTGTTATAAGTATCTTTGATTTGACTACAGGTGAATGTACAAGTAGACTACATACAGCCTCCTAACCAGGGCTTCCCAGAGAAAATGTGTGCAACAGTAACAACAGGAGGAGTGTAAGTAGCCAGGCTGTAATAGCATTGACATATACAAGAGTAAATATTTTGTAGGATTTGTGCAAAAAGCCTATTGGCCTAAACTGGTGCCTGAAAACTGGGAAATAAGAGTCAAAGGGATGACACCTGGTATAGTGGCTAGTATTGCTGGCTTTGATTAGTTTAGAATGTGTACCTGTTAGTCACTTTGATGGATTTGCTGATCCTGTGTGGTAGCCATGTAGCTTTGAAGGTGATGAATGCTGTTTGTATAGGATGGTATTGAGGTTTTTGTCCTCTCTGTAGGCAGGCACACTTGATGTAGAGTTACGGGAAATTTTTTATGCAAATTTGTAGATATTGAGATGAATGGGATATAACAAAACTATACAGGCATTTCCTTATTTATAGCTTTACACTAATACGTTTGTATATATAGACTTGTTTTCGCTACAGAAATGTCGGAGAAGCATTAGTGGGTAAAGGCTTGGCCACAGTGATACGTTATCGCCAGGATGATGATCAACGCTCCTCTCATTATGACGAGTTACTGGCAGCTGAAGCCAGGGCTATCAAAAAAGGCATGGGTCTACACTCTAAAAAGGAACCCCCAATCCACAGAGTGGCTGATGTATCAGGGGTAAGTTTTGTAAATTATGTATGGAAATAGCATTTAGAGAGAAATTGTGTAACTGTTTTTCCAAATAACAAACACATTTTGCATATTCTTTGAATAGGAAAAGTATTCCAATAGCTGTCACAATGCTGACATTGATAGGGAAAATAAACAAATGTTGCTTAATTTGATTTAGGTATTCAATGAGAGAGTGGTACCTGCTAATTTTACCTTGAAATTGTATGAGGTTTAGCAGTTTAAATTAATTTTTTTGTTGTAGGATATCACAAAAGCCAAACAATTCCTGCCCTTCCTGCAGAGGGCTGGCAGATCTGAAGCCATTGTAGAGTTTGTAGCCAGCGGCTCTCGACTTCGTCTTTTCATTCCACGAGAAACGTGTCTCATTACATTCCTCGTGTCTGGTAAGTGTCAAAAATGTTGGGGATTTACTTCAAAACATTTGTTTTAAACTTGTTACGTCTGTGTGTCCTGTTTTTCTTTCTTTCTTTTCTGTAAAGAAATTATTTCATATTTATCTTATCACATTAATGATTTATGAGAAAAAAAACTTTTATCATGCTGCTGGCATTTTAGTCATGACTGAAGTTTTTGGTTTAAAAATAACTGTACATGAAAAATCATACTGCTGTTGAATTTCCTGATATTGAGCATATACAAAATATTTGTTGTTTTGAAAATAACATAACTTTTAGTGGGAGGAAGAAGCTCTTTAGGTCAAAAGCTCTTTGATTTATTTCCAGGTATTTCCTGTCCAAGAGGTACTCGTACTATGCCGGGTGGTGTAGTAACTCCTGCAGAGCCTTTTGGTGATGAAGCAACGCTTTTCACTAAGGAGATGTGTCTACAGCGTGAGGTTGAAGTTCAGGTAGAGGCCATGGACAAGGGAGGTAACTTTATTGGCTGGCTGTTTGTAGAGAATGTAAACCTGTCCGTTTCACTTGTGGAGGAAGGATTGTCCAAGGTTCACTTCACTGCTGAGCGCAGCAACTACTACAAAGCTTTGTGTGTGGCACAGGACCAAGCCAAGTCAAAAAAACTTAATGTAAGTCTCATATCTGCTGGGGCATTCATTAGTGATAAGGAAAGTGACAATGAACGTTCACATGACAAACATCTAGTTCCTTCTCATATTATGTCCATCTTTTGTGCATCAGTATTGAGGGATAAGAGTTTTCATTAATATATGTAATGCACACAATTTCATGATAAAACCTATCTACTGTCAGTACATATCTACTACCAGTGTAAGATTTGTATGATATCTAAATGATCTACAACTTTATCAAAATGTTGTTCTCAGTAGACTAAGGCAAAATCTTGGGATAAACAAATATGAATGTTTGATATAAATTATTATGTTTATCTCCCAGTAGTGCTTAAGTAAACATTTAATTATTCTTACTTTAGAAAGCTGTATTGGTATATTGTAATTGTTTTGAATGGCATGGCCAGTTTAACACTGGTGTAGAGCTCCTCGGTGTTTTAATCGGTATATGTTTATTTGATTCATAGCAATGGGCAGCATATGAAGAACCTGTAGAAAAGGAGGAGGTGATTGAAGACACATCAGATAGAAAAGTTAACTACAAACAGGTGGTCGTCACAGAAGTCTCTCCTGAAGAACTCAAATTCTATGCTCAATATGTAGACAATGGTAGGAACCCTGTGTTATTAACTATCTGTAACTAACATAAAATTATTAACAAAGTGCTTTGTACATGACTTTAATCTTTAACAAGTTTTAAGTTCAAAATGTAAGATAGTGAACATATTCTACAACTTTATAGCTGTTCAAAACTCAAAAAACAGCTATGCTTATTTTCACTCCTCTTAACACCAGTTCTTGACACACTTAACTTTTTTCTGATAGTGTTGAAATTTGTGTACATTTGGAAATTTTTTTTAGAAGATTTTCTGGTTAAATAATAATGAAAAGAAATGCCAATTTACAGGGCCTCAGTTAGAGAAACTGATGGAGCAGTTACGACAAGATATGGAGTCCAACCCTCCACTGCCTGGATCCTACACACCAAAGAAGGGCGAAGTTTGTGCTGCCCAATTTTCAGCTGACGAATCCTGGTAAGTATTCAGCTCATTTGTTTGTAGATAGGTACTGCTTTATTTTCCTAGAATCACCATCCTTATAGTAATGGGCAATGTGACTTGCTGCTGTTTTATGGTTAAGATAAAAGATTATCAGGACCAGCATACACTTTCTACAGCATTTTATTCTGATAGACAACAATATTAAAAACAAGCAAATTTTTCCAAGTGGGAAAAAAGATGGTGTTGATAAATTACCACACATCACCCTTAAGATTTTGCAGTTATAACCATAATTTACATATTGAATCAAAAGTTTTGAAGAATGATGTAAATTAATAAGTTGATAAAACTGAACAGATTTCAGGGCTTGTTTTGGTGACAGCGTTATTGAAAAAAAAATTGCTGTTTCAGGTACCGTGCCAAGGTGGAGAAAGTTGAAAGGTCTCATGTAACAGTTCTATTCATCGACTATGGGAATGTAAGTTAGCTTTACCTATTTTCCTGAAATGTTAAATGGTGCTACAGAAACCTCTAGTACAAAGATATGTACAAAGTGTTGCCAAATGAAAAACTTCGACGTGTAATTGAAGAGAACATCATGAAATATCCAAAACTAAAAATCATTGTCATGGTGTTTAACACATTGGAAGAAGTTTATTTATGTAGATAACGTTTTATTTCTTTAATATATTATACATAATAAATATATATTTCATTTATTTTCAGAGAGAAAAGACCGATGCCTCAAGGTTAGCAAAGTTGCCTGCCACATATCAAACACTGGCACCCCAAGCTCAGGAGTTCGCCATGGCATGTGTAACACTACCCCCTGATGTAAGCAACCTGTTTCACTTTCCTACTCATTTTTCCTTTGTTTTTCCCAATGCTCACTTTTGGTTGGTGTCCTGTTGTAACCCCATTTTCTTGGTTGGACCCCTTTTTCTGTCCATTTCTATGCCCAACATTTCCACAGTTTTAACGACCATTGTTTGAGTCTTGTTTGTTGTTTCATCATTCTTGCTTAACCATTCCCTTCCATATGCATGGATCCAAATGTCTCTCCCCCAACAGCATCACCATTGTATCATCCACAACAACCAGCATAACAAGATATTCTGTTGTTTGTTTACAGGAGGATTCAAAAGCAGATGCCCTTGATGCATTCTACAATGACATTATAAACAAGGAACTGATGATGAACGTTGAGTACAGGGTCCCTGGTCAGGACTATGTCACACTCGTCTACCCGGACAACAAGGATGACGTTTCACAGGGGCTCATATCTGCAGGCTGGATCCTTGCAGAAAAGAGACGTGAGAAACGAGTAGCCAAAATAGTAACTGACTACCAGAAAGCCCAGGAAAAAGCAAAGATTGCTCGGGTAAGTGTTCACAGCAATGAAATGTAACTATAAAGAACTTTGAAGTTCACAAATAGTTGAGTTTGTGAATTTTCATTAGATGGGTTATTTATTCTCTTAGATTATTCCTGAAGATGAAAATTCACGAATTTAATAGTATTTATGTTTTTAATAATTCAAAATTTATTCCAAATGAATGTATATGAAATGTTACAGTTTGTTGATAAAAGAAGTAATTATTTACTACAGTTGGTGGCAATATATATTTAAATTTTACAAATCCTCTCCCCTTGGGTGGCTTAGTTTGCATTAGGCAGCATTTTATGTTTATTCAAAAGAAACAAAATTAAATCCGTCATTCCTATGACTTGTGTCATTTCAGGTAAACCTATGGAGGTATGGTGACTTCACAGAAGATGATGCCAAGGAATTTGGCTATAAGAAGTGAAAATGATTCTGATCAGCTGCTGCCCTACACCCCTTCTGGAAGAAAGGGTACTTCTGATTGGCTGTAGGACTCGGCAACCATTTCTGTCAACACAAGTGAAATATAGAAATACTTTAAACATACACAAGTGGAATCTAGAAATTCATGAACGAAACAGTACAAAGGGGACTTTTCTCAGACAAACAATGATTAACTTGCATTTGATGACTTGGATTCTTCCATTTTTTTTTTTTTAAATATGCTGCAGAATTGTTTGTTGAAATGATCTGAAAACCATTCGGTTTGCCCAGCTCTTTACTTCAGTTTGCTAAACAGCTACCTCGGTTGTCTTTAGTAGTAGAGGTACAGTTTTTTGTTGAGTGAGCTAGATGGTAAGAAGGGTTCATTTGTTTGGAGGAGATCTTCCCTCTGTCACTGTTTTCGTTGTGATATATAACAAAAAATTGATACATCAACACAAGTGGAATCTAGCTAAATTTATTTAATTTTTTTTACTACAAAATAAGAAAAATTCAAATATTTAAAGAAATAGACAGAACATGTGGAATCTAGCTATTTTGTATGTATTTTTTATTTAGGAGCTCTGTATCATTCTGGATGTTAGGCCTTGTTGGTTTTTACTATTGGTGAATGTCGTCCCATGGCCTGAGTTCAGGGCATGATTGCTGAGTGAAAGGAGTGTTTGAGTTAGTGACTTTATTAACGTAGCCGGCGTGCTTGGTGCTGAGACATTCACAATGTGATTGCCGTGTTAAATAGAGAAAGTGCATGAGATATTCTGTTACTTAATTTTTCTGCAATATGCACGTGATTCAATGTTTTTATCACAGGCCACTATCCCCTGCAGAAATGGCCAATAAAGAGATAGAAAAAAATGTAGTTTGTAGCATGGGAAGGGAACCATATATAGTGTATAAACCAACATTGTTGTCTCTAAGTTACAGTATTTAAAATGACCGATTGATTTTATAACTTGTTGTCATTGCATTTTTTGAGAAACAAAAGCATTTGATAGGTCATGCCCCGAAGTTATTTTTGTAAACCACTGCAGCAGTTCCTCAACAAAGGGCATTCTGATTTAAGATCAGCCAAGAGGAGAGATACTTTTAGAAGTCCTGTCCATGTCTGTATTACAGTCACAGAAATATTTTTATATTAGAAATAATTACCTTGTGTTATATTTTAATCAGACACTGGCCTAATTTGAAGTTACTTGTTTAGAATACCTGTCTACACATACCAGGTATATACAATGTGTAAACTTTAAAGATGGCTGTGATGTACCTGCAGGGTTTTACTGGCATCAGTTTTGGAATGTGAAGTGTACACTTGGCAAGTTGTTCGTTGTCAGTTTATAGTAGGTGCTCGGCTGTCTGTACAAACAGATATTCAAGCTGATTGGGGATGGGAATCATATTGTTCATTCACCATATATATCCATAAACACCAATCTTCTTATACATGTGATCTCTACGTCATTGACTCGGTCATCTAGTGGTTTTAGGGACAGCAAAATTATTAATTAGATAATCAAACGGGCCTCTGTCATCACATACAACTAGGAAGTCATTATCTGTCCATGTAAAAGATTATCAAGGATATTGGACAATGCAATTCTGACATTCCTGTTGTTAGATTTGTGTATTTTTATTGTGATCGACTGTGTTCGCTGTCACTATAACTATGGAATGTTTCCCATTATGTAGAAGTCTGATTGTGTTTAAGTTAGCTCACCTTTTACAATAAGAAAAAGAGCACATCAATCTTCATTTTGTGTCATCTTGCTTTATTGTTATTAAGGTTTATTTTGTATTTATGTAGATAAGTTAAGTAGATAAAAGACATTTAATCAAATTATAGACATTTCTGTACTGAAAACCGAAATTCTTCCTAACCTTAAAGGCCAAATACTGATAAACAGTCTAATTATTGATGCAAATGACTTATGCTGTTTTAGCACATTCACAAGGATTGTGTGGTACTGCGTAAGAATGTATTTATTGATATTGCATGTTAAAGGCCAGGTTCTCCAGACTTTACTGTAGAAGAAAGTGCTGGTCACTGAGATAAAAACTGGGTTGTTGTTTGGCCTGTTCTGGTCTTAATGACAGGGAACCGGATACAATACTTGTTCTTTTTCATTCTTTTTTTTTTTTTTTTTAAATTAATCTTTATTTATAATATATTATTTAAGCTTAATATTAATTACCTATGTTGCCCCCGACAGAAGTGCAGAAGGGGTCTTGCTGTGGGATGTGTTAGAATTCTGGAAAAAACCTGGATGCTCGGTCCATTCCCAGGAACAAACCTGGACACCTAGGTGATAGGTAATTACATTACCACTGCACCACCCATCCACCCTGAAGTAAAACTGGGTTTAAAATGTTGTTCATAGTGTAGTGATGAATATATGTCTATACAGGCCAAGGATAAATAAGCTTAACATGTCTCCCTTTGGTTTATATGGATTTGAATCCTTGTATAATGTATTTGCCTGTTGTTCATAGGTTTATTAAGCATTCTATTCACCTGTTGTTCATAGGTTAATGAATCCATGTATAATGTATGTACTAATGGTCCATAGGTTTAGGAATCGTATGATTTATGTACTTGTGGTTCAAAATTTTGTACCAGTTCATCTTTATACTTGTGGTTCATTGACTTGAGAATCCCTTCTGTTGTTCATGATCATATGAACGGCAATATGCTATATGCCAGTGTTTGTTTCCACTACGATGACCCTGTTATTGACAACATTGTGAACATGTATATCAGAATTAAACCATTTTACGTAAAGATAAACCACTTACTCTGTGTTATGTTGTCTTGTTATTTTCTAGGCCATAAACATTAAAGTGTTTTTGTGTCGACTGTCCCATCACACATTAAGTGTAAAGCTGCAACAGTTTTTCATATTCCAACATATTGTGATATTCAAAGGGATATTGCGATATATCATTAAATATTGTATTTTAGTATATTTAAATGAATTTCATAATTTTAAAATAGTCAAGATGACCTATTGCTATTGTGTATTGTCTGTTACTTTAAAACATTACTCCTGCCAAACGCCTAGGTGGATTTCAAACAAATATGGTCTGAAACATCATTGGGGGTTGGGAATCCTTTCTCCTTTCTTAAATTTGAAAATTTGATTGGACCGCTAGTGACCTTGGGATGGGGCCCCAAAGGGGGAAGTAAGATCATATTTTGCTTTAAATGCTACTCTTCCTTAGTGCTTGAATGAATTTCATTCCAGTTTTGTCTATAACATCTGTAGGGTTGGTAAATAATTCTTAAATTCAGAAATTTGATTTGACCCCTAGGGATTTGGGGGAGGGCCCCAAAAGAGGAAATTAGACAATGTTTTGTTTTAAAAAGTGACTTCTTCATAATTCCTGGGTAGATTGCAACCAAATTTGGTCTGAAATATTGCAGTTGGGGTATTTTTATTTAAATTAATAGAAAATTTATTCGATCCCAAGGAACCTGAGAGGCCCCAAATGGGAAAGTTGGTCAATATTTTGCTCCAAAATGCTACTCTTCCTTAATGCTTGAATGGATTTTATACCAAATATGGTCTGAAATATTATCGTGGGAATTGATCAGATTTATCAGACCATTATCTGCAATTATGTGGTTTGTCCATCCATTCATCAATCAGATGGCCGTTAAGGGTCATTTTGTTTGACGGACAAGTGTGTAAATGTGAGACCAATAGCTTTATCTGCTGCCGTGATGTATTGAAGACTACGGAAGTTTGAATTTATGTAACCACACGTCTGAGAACGCATGACACGAGCTGAAGTAGGATTTCAAGAAAACAAAATGTAAGGGAAATTATTGTCACTCTTATGTGTCTTGCATAAACCATCGCATATTCAGATTTGATGAACTTTAACATCGCATTTATAAAACTGGTTTTAGGTCGCGACATATAACATATTGCTCGTCAGGGTGAGTAGATCTAACGCCTTAGTCAGATGGATTGGGAATTTTCAATCATATAAACTGTTTATTTTAGTGATAATGTTTCCGCGCTTAAAGTATAGCGCTATTGATATAATTATTCTAACTGCATTCGATATATGCTGCTTACATAGTAATTATCGTAGTTGTGTAGATATATTATTGATTCTACTTACAAAGTGATGATATGCGAAGATTTGATTGACAATTGTTTGCGATCACATTTTTCTCTTAGAACTGCAGGAGGAATCCTTTCAAAATATCATCACAATTAGTATGAACCCTAGATGAGCATATCTTTCGAAAACAATCGTTTTTTGTGTACTGTGTCCATTGCCAACTTTTCATTTTAAGCGACTTCTTTTCAATAACCAAATGGCCCAGGTTCCGTATATTTTGGTTGAAGGGATGCCAAGATAGCTCAAATAATTACCTTGACCTAATATCAATGCCACCGATGTCAAATATGTTAAAATTGTTAAGCAACTTCTCAATAACCAACTGGCTCAAGATCATCATGTTTGGTCCGTAGAATGCATGGACGAAGGACTACAAAGCTTGTTTTAACCAATGACCTTGGCACCCTTTAAAGGTGACAGACGTAAGAATTAATGACTTTGACCTACAATCAGTGTCACAGTAGTTTGTTTTCAGTTACAGCCAGAGAAATGTTGGGTTGATTCTAGGAACTCCAACCCACTAAACTAGAAATTATAAACATTAAAAGGCCATTCTATAACATGTGTTGACGTCTTTCAAACGTGGCTGCTTTGCTTATATGGTCGTTTAACTTTCCATTTCTTAACAGTTACCTACTGTCTCTCCGATTCACAAACTTGCTCGTATCATCATTTCCTTGGTAAAAATCATATGTGGGGAGTCAAATCTTAGTGGTAGGTAATTGCTGGCGATGAACTTAAAATATGTAAGTTTCCTATAATACAAATTGTAATTTCAGTGAACATTGGTTTATGTTGCATTAATTATGCGTAATTGATCAAATTTTAACCGTTTAGGCGAATAGCTGTTTCGTTTCAAAATGAACTGGGAAAATACTTGAGATATACAATTCATTGCATGACCGAACTGTTTGACAATAGGATATTTAAAGTTAAAATAGAAACAACGAAGAAAGTACAAGGTACTATACTTTTTATAGCTTAAGAAGTTGTTGACTATGTTAAGGTTCAACATACGTTATTCATTGAATAGGACTAGGGATAATGCCACATCAATTTCTCATGCATCTCAAAAGCCATTACAATATCCAGGTTATTTGTTGAACCTTAACGATATAGCCCTTATTATCTTCTGATTGTTAGTGGTTACAAGGAAATCTCGTCTCAAACTTTAAAAGTTTTGTCTCGCCTTCGTTTTATAAAATTTTATAAGAAATGAAAGTTCATTTAAAATTCAATATGCATGATACCTTAAACCTTTTTAAATTTTTGATCTTTCTGATTGTTGTTAGGTTAAGGGTGTATGGTACATTGTACTCGCTGATTGTTGTTAGGTTAAGGGTGTATGGTACATTGTACATTCTGATTGTTGGTAAGATTGGGATACTTTAGTAGTAAAGTATTAGTACATTGTACTCTCTGATTGTTGTTAGGTTAAGGGTGTATGGTACATTGCATTTTCTGGTTGTTGGTACTTGATGGTGTATAGTATCTAGTGTATTCTTATTATTGGTAAGGTTAAGGGAGTACGGCACCATGAACATTCTGATTTATCTCCATTACATTTTCAACAGGTATCTTGATGTATTTACAGCAATTATCGTCTGTAGATTAAAGGACAATAGTACCTTGTAATTTCTTTAGCTACCTTTACATCTTCAACAAAGTATGTACTGTGAAAAAAATACTGAATGATCGTTTAAATTTGGGAGGGAGGTAACTCGGAAAGTATCATGCACCATGCACCCTTAAACTTCTACTAATAATCGCTTGATGGTACAAGTTCAACAATTTTCAAATATAGTTCCAATACTGTAATACTATATCAACACTCTGTCGCTATATTTTGGTTTTACGAAATAACATTTTAAAAAGATTTAATCACATTATAAGCCTTCCACTAGAGAGCGAGTTATTAACTGAAATTAATCCCTTATCTTTTACTGAGTATGCATTTCAAGAGGATTGTGCATTTAACAATAACAATTCAAAGAACAAAAACTAAGTCTGTTCAAACTCATTTTAGATTTTATTGAAAGAGGAAATATGAACTTTTAAAATAAACGTAAGAGTTTGTAAAGATGGATTTTAGCCTACATAGTTCGTTAGAATGACTTAATCAAAAACGAAAATATGTTATTTTATCAATCGTGTGTATTGATTTCTCTGAAGTATATCATTTTGTCTGACAAATCATATTTTCATAACTAATACAAGATTCAATATAGAAGGTCGACTGAAAGTTCACCTAGACATCCACACATACGGACAACAGGTGTTAAACTTATCTGTACGATGTTTGACTTATACTGTGTATCTCCTTCAAGCGACCATTCTACCTGTGTATAGTTTACAATAATAAAACCAAGTACGCATGCTCAGGGTGCGTTATCACGATTGCAAAAAGACATCTACGTGTAGATGCACTGGTCCTATTAAAATGTGTCGGGAATCGAACCTTCAGATTTAACAATTATTTCATCTGTATGATATACCGGAATTTACAACAAAGTGTTTTTTGTGGAAATACCCGGGACTGGGGCATGAAAACTTGTGAATTTGTGCAATAGTGTCATTAGGACTTACCAACAATAAGTGTTACTTTGTGTCCAGGGAGGTATGATAGGTCAGTTAAAATTTTGAACTTACTTTAAAATGTAAATATTTTTCCCGCAACACAGGCTCGCCAACGGATACCTCGTTTTACAGCGTATCAGTGAAGAAACAGTTAAATTGCAACCAATGTTTGTATCTATACGTATCTGAGGTGGTAGCAAAAGACATTATGAAGACATTTGATGATATACTCGTCTCTATCGGGGACTTCGGCACGTACCAAAAAAGACTGTATGCGTTATGTGTGACATCAAATTTTGTCACCGCTGCTGTGACGCTCATCACCGTGTTTACTCTGAACGAACATCAACACAGGTAAAAAAAGTACAGGTAACTACACAATACAATGCAATATACAGTACAGTACAGTACAACAGATCACATCACAGTACAGTACAGTACAACAAAACACGTCACAGTACAGTACAGTACAATACATACAGTACAGTGCAGTACAGTACAGTACAACAGAACACGTCACAGTACAGTACAGAACAAACAGTACAACAAATCACATCACAGTACAGTACAGTACAACAAAACACATCACAGTACAGTTCAGAACAGTACAACAAAACACATCACAGTACAGTACAATACAGTACCACAAAACACATCAAAATAGAATGATATTTTATTACAATACAGCTAGACCTAGTACCTGTGTATTAACACATAGATTGGGTGAAACCATTCCAGATAACACTTTGTCACTAGTTAGCAGGTATACATTATACTCCCGTATGGTCTGAAGAAACTCGATATGATATTAAAATATTGACACAATTTTATGATCGTATTTACACTACTATCATATCAGATAGGACTTGTTTACCCCTGACCTGACTTTAAATACACTTCGTGTGTCCGATGCCTCAGGTACAATTTCATTCTGATATGTAGAGTTTTGTCCGTTGCGTAAGGGGCCTGAACTAATACAGAGAAAAAAATATCTTCTCCACAAATTAACTAGCATATCACGAATGCTAATTTTCGGTGTTGTAAGCACAACTACGTCGTTAAATGTCTTCTGTATGCCCAATGG